AGATGACAATTAATTCCCGAAACAAGGCGTCCTGATCGTTTACGTTTTATAAAGGCAGTACAAATCTCATTATTGCAGTCACGTTCTCCACAAGACATCTTAAAGTCATTTGTGCGCACCGCGCTTGTGTCGAACACATCTTCAAGCGTGTCCTTGAAATAAAGTGATAAAGAGCCAGAAAGCTTTACTGACATTGAGCTGCATCTTCTGCACCCCGCGGGGCACCCATTCGCGACCTCTTGTACATCTGGGAGCTCATTGCAGCCCGGAAATTTCGCTTTCTTAGCCATCTGTTGAGCCATGAAATGGGAATCTCGCACGAACTCGCTTTGTTGCTGATCGCCGCCACGCTCATGGGATGATTACCAAACTAGTGGCTGTTGTTGCAAAGAGTATCTAGGTAGATATTCTCGATGCCCAGATTTGAGAGTCCGCGATCCAGTGCCCCAGATTTTGCGAATAGCTGGACACGATAGAATCATATAGCCATCCGATTTTTTGTAGGCCAGATTTTGGGAATAGCTGGACACGATAGAATCGTATAGCAATCCGATGGAGGGTTTGAAAATGTTCGGTAGTTTTCAAAGCCTCGTTTTAGTGGCCAGCAGGAAGCCCTCCTTTTAATCTAAATCAGCCTTTACAGCTGCTGGACGCCAATCAGGTGCCCTAGAATCCGTGTCACGGATCCTCACGCCTCCGTGACCAGACACCTTCCTTCGCCTCCCTAGTGTCTATTGTACCGGCCAAGAGCCTCAATTGAGGGACCAATTATCCTCAATTGAGGTCCTCACGATTGCTCCAGAAGGGAGTTGTCTAGATTGTGTTTTTCACCTAAATGAACGGAAAAGCAGTCCCTGCCTTTCGCTGCACGACACAGCCAAACAATATTATCACTCACACTGCAAGCAGAACACAGGTGTGTGGTCTTGTGGATCTTACACACCCTACAGGTTTTTTGCAAAGCATATGCCGTAACTTTTCCATCCCTCTTACGTCGCCTTTGCTTCGTCGGAGTCAAGTGGATTCCGACTCCACTTGTCAGTCGTCCTGCAGGGGCCTTATTCTGTGATTTCGATGCTCCTGTCGTGCCTCTTCCTCTCAAGTATGGTCGTTCGTAAAAGTTGTCAATTAACTCTGTCGCCAATGCCTCGTAAAACGACCGTTGATTCATGTGCTTTCTTGAACCATGAGCCCCTTTCCAGAGCAACCAACTGTCTACTACACAAATTGAGAGCAACGATGTGTTCATACGGAAATGCCAGCTTTGAGTCCCAATTTTCATTTCCATATCCAAAACTTCTTGACGGCAGCGATTATGTCTATCCACCTGGGCGCAACAACTGTAGTATATCTCGCAGACTTTTGGCTGCCGTATATGCACCTGTACGTTTTCTGGACCGCCCTCCAATTGCTTCCAGCGCTTGCGGAGGTAGGCGTCACCTTGCTCTGCACACGACGCTGTTGAAATAAAATACCTTCTATTCCTATCCAACCACATGAGCGCCATCATCATATTGTTTCCGTTTAGCCCCTTCCTTACCAGACTGATATGCTGTCCCCTCTCCGAAAGCTCTTGTTTCGAAAGGTAATCCATTGGATACAGCCTTGTCGCTGTCTTTACGACACCGATAAACTTAAGGTCCAACTTCAGCAGCATCTCAGAAGCATAAACACTTGCAAAATAAGAGTCTGCACACACGATTCTATGCGAACCGGACCACGGTGAAACGAGACGTTTCAAGACTGCAGCTCCATGTAACATGCTTCCCTCATTCTCTTTTTTCGCTTCATCTTCTGCCGTTGTCACTAACTCTAAACGCATCATAACACCGCTTCTCCCGCATGAGGCATCTTGTATTTCACACCCATGCTCGGGTTTGCGGTCAACTGCCACATACTGTGGAAGTCCCACGTCTATCCAGTGACCTCCTAGTCCATACCACCTCGAGATGGACTCATCGACACAAATAAGATCAGAAGGCGTCACACGCTCCAATCTGTGCATGTTGATAGCCTGCACAAAGTCGTCCACAAGCTTCCATCGAAATGATGCTGTCGAAAGATTGCCCTGGTGCGATGGCTGACGACTGAAGCGAACATTGCTTAATATATCAAAGAATCTATTTCGTGACATCCCCGTGCGACCAAAAGAAGGTGCAGGTATATACTTAGATGAAGGTAAATGTGGGATAACTCCTCTCCGCCCTGGGTTGGGTGAGAGGCGGAGGCTTTAGCGAGGGAGCACGCGGTGCGGACGCGACGCGCCAATTGAACCGATCAGACGAGCTCGCGAAAAGGGAGTGGCTCACTGGCCGGTTACGCGCAGTCGCCCCGTGGTGCGTGAACGGGAGCGACTGGTAACAAGTTAGAAGCCAGCGCGCGCGACAGACAACCGAAAGCGGACGTACGTAGGCGCAAAAGGGACGGGGGCGAGCTTGCCCCCGTTTACTGGTGGGGACGGGTGCCAGGTCTTAACCCCGCAGAGGGACGCCTCGGACACCTGTCCCAGTACAGTAGTACAGTACCTGCCGCCTAGTGCGTGCCGGGTACTGTACACAATTAAAAAACTAGCGCCATAATTGCTACTACCGCACGGACGCTGCTACTACACGTGTGCCCTACTGTACACGCGTGTTGCTTACAGACTACCGCTCGGACGACACGTGCACTACTGTACACGTACGCCAGATTACGACCGCTCGGCATGCGCGCGCGCTCGCTACACGTGGGCACAGCCGCCCACGTGTATACCGTATACGGCCGTCCGATGACCTCCGCGCGCTCGCGCCGGTCATTATACTACAGTAAAGAGCTCCAAAAATCTTGCTTATTGCCGAACTCGAAACGTGTCATGAGGATAAGGACCCCAAAAAACCGAAGCACTTCCGACGGTGAGATGCCTGTTTTACCTTTAGCCAGGAGGTTCTCGTTGGTTAGTTCGGTCACAAGCGAGAGGTGCTCAAATGGATGCATGCTCATGAAGCAGTCGAATGGTGTAAGGCCTTGGATTCCAGCGCCTTCAGATATCATTGTTCCATTCCACGCTCGAACTGTCCAAAACTTGCGAGCTGAGTACCCACCAATGGGGGCTGTGACATGCTCTTTGTACCATGGAATATCATGTGCAATGGCGTCTGGTTCGGTACTTTTGGATGGTGTCGATGTGCCGCTGCTGTCTTTGATGCTTGTTCCCAGGATTGCTGATTGACCCATGCTTTTGCCTTGCTTACAGTTGAGGCTGTGGCGGGGGTGACTGGAGATTCGGGTGGACTCGCTGGAATCAAAGGTTCGGCGCTCGGAAGAACAACCCTTTCGGCACTACCGTGCTTGATGTTAACAAGCTTAACAGCCTTTACAGCTGTTCTAATGGTTGGTTGGACTGTGACAGTCCATTACACACCTTCAAATAGGTCTGCCTACGGCCTTTGATTGTGTCCACGAGGACTTCTTGGACGGTTCCACTGAGAAGTTTGCCTTTTGCCTTGCTTCCGTACAGGCGAGCGCACTCGGATGCATTGGTGACGCAGGTTGCTTTAGTGTGCACCTGCGCACCAATGCGACTGCGTGGGTCTTTTGCGGCGGTCATGTTGGGAAAGTTTCGCAATGTCGAGCCTGATTCCAAGGCGTACTGCTGCGTACCACTTCGAAAGTTGGCGATGTGGGAAGGGTCCCACGCTTATTAAGGGGGCATTGATGCTGTTTTTGGCGCGAAAAGCGTGCATAGGTACCGTATCGGTTCTTTTTTGGCGCTTAGGAATAGCGTTCAATTGAGGCTATGTACCTCAATTGAGGCTGTCGGTATAATAGACACTAAGGGGGGCCTTCTGAATGGCCTTTTTCACAAAACCTGGAGGCCTCCATAGTATTCAAACCAATGAGCCATTCACGGATTCGACGAATAAGTGCGATTTTAGTTTGGTTGGTGTAAATACATATCATGGAGGACTCACGGCGCTTTCTTCGAGTCCTCCACGGTGCGAACGTGCCCTAACCGAAAGAAGGCATCGGACCCGTGTAGTTCCATCACCCCGCACCCCTCGTACACTATGCCCTATCAGGGCACTTCAATTTCAAATTTACTCCTAAACCGATAGTGTTGCGCACAGAAATGCAAACGCAAAATTTTACACATTTAGGCACCAAATTTAGCCAAACCGATAGGGGTGCTCTATGCAATATTATAACAAAAATACTTACAGGGGGGGGTCGCTCAATAGTGCCTACTTTAGTAGTGCTTCCCTCTATATAGTGCTATGGCCCACCGTCTGGCACAGGTTATTATACGCTCACACGTGTATCATCCGGCATGGTTCAGTACTCTCAAAGGATGAAGTTATTTAGTTGTGTTATACAGGCTTTGTTGTGGCAGTGTGCTTTGTCCCCAAAAATATGTATTTGAGCCTCCTTTCTATAGTGCCATCCCCCCAATAGTGCCATAGCTAGAGGTATGTCACGCTATAGCACTATATCGTAGGAGGCACTGTACTACAAAAGCCCAAGGTACAATATACACGTACAATTTATATGACACTGCCTTTTGAGTGCAATTTCTGCATGTTCGTGTTGTGGGCAACACAAAATGATTATTCCCGACATCCGCCCACATATGCTTTTACTGGCACTGGTTCGATGTCTGGAAGACCAAGCTTCTTTTGCCAAGCTGCTTTTGCCAAGCTACTTTTGCACAGGTCTCCACCACCCTTCAGAGGAACATCTGGAGGTTCACTCTGAAGCGCACCAGAATTGCAGCATATCGCAACTCCCTTTGCTTAAGACCCAGAATCCTTCATATTCTGCAGTGGATCTGAATTGGCCTTTACTGCCCATCGAAGACTCTACAGAAGCACACAGATGTGAGTGACGCTGAGGTATCGAACTGCTCTTGCCATCACGGTGATTTCAAAACTGCAGTACAGTACACCCTGTTTTTCGGGGGACGCCAGAAGTGAAAATCTATTTCATGTTTGAGTAACCTGAGTTGTTAATCAATTGACGGAGAAATGAGTGCAAATGGCAACATCGAACATCTACACGGGGACCTCAGTCGATTCTTAAGAGCGTTCTTGGCCCAGGCACGTTTCGGCACAGTGACATCTACTCTCTGGAACGAGCTTCAAAGAAAACTTGTCTCGGCCCTGCCCTCTGAAAGCGCGCAAACGATAACAAGTGCTCTCCATGCACTGCACAAGGAGCGCGGATGCACCTCTTGCGCAGAGTGGTCAGCATTGAAGCACACGGTTAATGACACCCTTCAGCACTGTGAGAGATCACAACTAGTACATAGTCTACAAGAGAAGGGGCTTAGCAACAATGGCGAAGATTCTTCAAAGCTGACTCCGAAAAAAAGAGCGGCACCAGGTGATGATTCTTTTTCTCTGCAGCCTCGAAAACGAAAACCTGACAACTCGAACAAGAGTATTCTCCGAGATGATGTTGTAATTGTTTCAGATGACGATGAGACCGTGGCCCCAAGAAAGTTGTATGGGGAGACATTCTGCATTCTTAGATCAGAAGCAAACATTCACAACAAAAAGCATACAGTGGCGTTGGACGAGATAGTCACAGCTGGCGCCGATTTCACGGTAGTATGCAACTACAACTTCGATGTTTCGTGGATGTGGGAAGCCGCGCCGGCTTTGCAGACGAGTAGAAAGGTGCTGATCGTCCATGGTGAGACGCCAGAGGAAGAGAGGGACTGGAAATCCTTCATTAATGGAGTTGGGGCTTCAGAACGAGTGCGGTTTGTACGACCAAGAACACCGCCGTACGGCACAGTCCATTCAAAGATGTTTCTCCAGTTTTTCCCCAATGGATGCCGCATTTGTATCCACACAGCAAACATGGTTCCAAGAGACTGGTACTACAAAGTTCAGGGTGCGTACGTCCGTGACTTTCCGCTTATCAATCAAGGTACAGATTTATCAGACTCACACGTCAATATGCAATCTCCTACTGACGAAGATGACTTCAAGACGCAACTCGACAGATACTTCCGACATGCCCTGGTGGGTGATGCCAAGGAAGAAGTCACCCGAAGTATTGCGAAGTATGATTTCTCGTCTGCAGGTGTTGCTCTGATTGCATCTGTGCCTGGTGTGCATAAAGGCCCAGCAAAGATGCATTTCGGACATGCCCGGTTGAGAGAGCTTCTGAAAAGTGAAGCGTTTACCCCGGAGGACTCAGGGTCCGTTGCTGTTTGCCAATTCAGCTCATTGGGCTCGATACAACAAAAATGGTTAGAAGAGGAGTTCAAGGAGACTCTTTTCTCGGAAGCAGCAGGTCCTTCGTCTCAGCCCGCCAACGCGCACAGTACAGAAATTAAGCTTGTATATCCGACTGCCAAACAGGTACAAGAGTCGATTGAGGGAAAAGTGGCTGGTGCATCTATTCCGGTCCGTGGCAAAAACCTTCATCGGGGGCACATCGTGAACAAATTGCATCGCTGGCAAGGTAAGCATAGTGGATACGAACGAGCTATGCCGCACATCAAAACTGTTCTCCGGTATCCAGTTTCCCGGCCGCAGTCGCCGTTCTGGGTTTTCCTTGGTAGTTTCAACCTGAGTGTGGCTGCGTGGGGCCGCATGCAGGGGGGCAAAAAAGGAAAAAAGGTGTGGGATAGGCTGAACCTTTTAGCCTACGAAGTGGGAGTTCTTTTCACTGCAGGCCTTGCTTGCCCCCCAAACCATTCTGTGGACGCCTCAATCAAGTACGCGAGGCTAACTGCATCTGAGGTCGCATTTTGGAGGCAAGCTAAAAGGGACAGGCGTCTCAATCTCAGGGCTAGCACCTTCGGAGAATCCGCTGGCCAGAATGATAACATGCCGAGCAACGACGGAGCGAAAGTGGTTCTTAACTTACCAATCCCATACCAACTTCCTCCAGCACCATACAGTGATGCTGACACTCCATGGATTGTTGACTACTTAATGATGTGAAACTGCAGAAGATTCGCGCCTTGCCTGTCAGAGGCAATGTTTTTAATTACTGTACTGTACATAACTCTCCTCCTCCATCCAAGGGCCGGGGGTGTACGATAAATCAAGTGGGAAAGCGTTCCGAGCATTCCCATGACTCTTTTTCGGCTCTGAGAAGGGAGGGTCTTGGCCTCGGCATTTGCCAAATAGCAACAATCATGGCGCAAGACAATTTCGTTTAGGGGGAGTCTGTCCCAGGAGACAGAAATACTACAACAAAAGAATTGTGCATGACATTCTGGACGACACAGCGGGGCGTCTTACACAGTCCCGGATGGACCCTCCGGAAAAGTCAGGGAAGCATCACCAATATCTTTCACTCTCTCCACCGCCTCCTCGTTCATGGTTTTGGCACGTGCGACAGGCCATGATCCGTCCTTCCGCGGTCGACCACGAGGCCTCTTAAAAGGTTTCTTTGCGTCCCCCTCGTCCAGAGTTATATCCACATCCTTGACTGCATCTCCGTCCAACCGCCCTGGAACACCGGCTACTCCCATCGACAGCATGTTCGAGTCCAAAGGACCTGAGACCGACGGGACTATATTCAGCGGAGTGATCCCAAAAGCGGCTGCTTGCTGCATGAGCTTTTCGCCGCTCTGGGAAGAGGACATGATATCACTTCCAGCACCTTGAAGGTTCGGTACTGCCTCAGGGCGAGGCGGAACAGTCAGAGGGATGTCAATCTCAGCCGAATCTCGCATGTTCTCCGATTGTGGAAAGGCGACATCTGGGCTCATTCGAGCAACATCCCTGCCAGATAAGGAATTGGACATCTCACCTTGCCTATCCTTGTCGACGAGATCCGATCCATCCATGATCTGTTCAAATACGCCTCCCTGCGATAGTTGGTCATGCACTGCTGCCGATTTTGCAACGTCTTTGTCCGTTAGGTCATGCATATGAATATCTCTGCCGTCCACTACTTTCGATGGGACTGCGTTGTCCACGGACTCCTGGACAAGGCCGTCTTCAGCAGGTGAAACCTGCTTCTGCTGCGCTGGAACCTCCAATGGCTCCGGCATTGAAGTAGTATTGGTGTTTCTCGACGCAGCGGCATCATCGGCAACGTTATTCGTTGCGCCGTCATTCTCAGCTGATGGGTCAGGTGGGTTTACAAACGCCGATGAACCATTTGACGTCGTCGGAAGAGCGGATGGAGCCTCACGTGCTTGTCCGGATGCCACTTTACCTGACCTCTCATTTGCTGCTGCTGCAGGACTGTCTGATGGCACAGGCGTTACACGTTTCCCTTCATTTTCCTGCGTTCCTTGCACTTTACCGTCAGCGTCAGCCTTTATGGTCGACTTCTGAGGAACTGCGGCAGCCGGCTTGGTTGCGGCCTCTGGCTTGCGGACTCGGGGAACTGGCCAGGACCCATCCTTGCGAGGCCTTCCACGAGGTCTCTTTAATGGACCCGGTGCGCCTTTCTTCGGTTGTCCGTTGTTGGATTGATCTCCGGACGATGTTTGTACAACAGAAGTGGGATTGGTGGACGCAGTTTTGTTGAAATCGCCGATCCTTGACGCTTCGGACCATCGGGCCACGCGACGGAAAGGCTTATGTGTCCTCTCTTTCTTCGCAATAGCAGGAGAAGGACTGGCTGTTTTGCCAGGAGAGGACGTAGCTTTCCTTCGTCGAAGTGACTGAGTTGCACCCGTCAATTTGGAGGCAGTTCCTTTCTCTGTCGGAGACTTAGGGTCTCTCTTCTTTGTTTCTCCGCTTGCTTGCGACAGACTAAGGCTTGATGCGAGGACATAATCGGCAAAACTTGGGCGTCCTCGCTTCCGCTTCTCACCCGGCCGTAGAGGTTTGAGTATGTATAGCGGAGAGGGACCAGAGAATCTCTTTCGGGGCCTTCCTGGTGACCGCGGAGCCTGATCGGCATCTTCCATAATGGCTTCACTCGAACTGGGGTCATTCTTCTTAGAATCTTTAGTGGTTTTCGGGCTGCGGCGCTGGGCCCTTGCACCTTCGACGGAGGGGCGAGACCGATCCGTAGTATTTCCAATGCCAGTGGTCTTGGCCGAAGTCGCGCGGCGCGCTTCGGTAGTAGCGCGTTTGCCCTTCGTGGGTGTAATAGGGGCACTGTGGTTGGATGCGTCGCGTTTGGTCGGTGAGCGGCGCAAGGACGGAAGCGCGCGAGGAGGATCCTTGGAGGCAAGGAGCATGTTAGTGACTCCATTCGAAGCGAGCGGTTTGTAGGTGCAAATCGCAGGGCCCCAGTGAGAGGACGGAGGATCTTCCCCGAACAAAGCCTTGTAAGTGTGCAGAGTCGCTGCGTACGCCTCCTCTCGGGCAATGTTCATACGCATAGCCGGGGGGAAGTGATGAACGAAGCCACCGAGGGACGAACAGGTCTTTTCGTAATCATGAGTCCATTGGCGATGAAGGCCCCATACGGTACCGACGGCCCTGCTCGGAGGAAACTTGCAGTATTCAAAATCTCCCGACTGTGTACGGAGACGTAGCCACCGCATGTACTCTGAGTGAGCAGTCGCAGCAAAGTGTGGTGACCAGCCCAGCTCCACCTGAAGCTCGTACACGAGATCTAGGGACTGTGTGGCCATGATGCGATTTGGCGAGATCTAAAAAGGAAGCCAGCGATATATAAGACGATGTCGGCAGGAAATTAGGGCGATGACCCAGTCTTCGAGGACGAAGAATGGATGGGGGCGTTTCCCTTGCAAGGAGAGTGGTGGGAAGAGTGAAGACTTGGAACGATGGGGGGCTTATTGCTTGCTGTAACAGACGTCAGTCGTGGGGAAGGAGCGATTAACTCGCAAATGGCTTAGGTGGGAGAGCCTTCAGTGATTTAAATAGGACGGTACAAAAGCGGCTGCGGAGAAACGCTTGCTTGGCAAAACGGGGCGGGTAAGTTCGAGTTGAAGGAGAAAAATAAAAAATAAAAAAAGGATGAGATAAGAAAAGCGCAAATTTGTGCCCTACAGCGGGTCGGCGGGAGGGTATTTGGTAAAGACGACAGAACAGGTCCGAGAGGAAGTGGCAACCGCATGACAGATGAGGTCTTTTGTCCTGTTTTTCAAGGGTTTTTTTTTATTCCTGCTTTCTGCAGTGGACGAAAATAGATTGATGGGGGCGTGGTGTTTTACGAGACATCAGGGCGATTATTCTGCTATTCACAGACTGATTTCGAGAGTTAGGCCTGGTGTATTCCGGTGGAAGCTAGAAAAGTGGTAATTTTCAATCGGAATTCCGTGCGAGAAGATATTATTCGAAAGCCTGACCAACAACACAACGACAATGGTTTGTGTGCCAAATATATGGCCCACTGAAAAAAGAAAAAGGGAATGTCCAGAGCATCCGGCCAATCAAAACGGCGGGTTGTGGAGCTCAGATCAGAAAAGTTTTTGAAAAGGTACAAACTATTCGCTGGGCACCACCGGCTCTGGCCCAACCGGAAACGCAAACCCCATAAAAATATTTTTCATAGCCGCTTGTTATTGCAACCCAAAAATAAGATTTTCTGCCATATCGAGCTCTCGAAAAATTATGGACCCTTCCATCAGTTTGTACGGTACAGTATCCAGGGTATGACAACCACGGCGAGCCATGCGCGCCATTCCCAAGCCTCATCCAACTTTGTCTCTCAACAAACAAATGCAAAGGCCGGTCACGAAGAGACGAAAGACCTGCAATAACATCATGCACGATTTCGCGTAGTACTGCACTGTATAGGCACACTCTCAAAGCTTCTGGCGGGGGTGGAAACGGCGTCGAACAGGGTGCCAAGAGCATCAAGAGCAACATCTCTTCGCGTTTCTTTCCGGATCAAAGTACCGTTCCGATTGAAGGACGAGAGTGCGACACCAGCCAAACGAAGCGCAGCCCATCGTCCGCGCGAGAGCAACGGTCTTGTGTGCTACGTCCGGCATGAAACCTACTCGACCAAAGTTTGAGGTCTCATGTCCACGCAAACCTCTCTTCTTCTACTGTACCATCCTCTGCCAGCATATGTTACAAATGTACCTCTGAGCAACGACCATCAACGGCCCTCAGAGTCTGATGAGCACCCTCTCCTTCTTCACGTCTTGCTCACGTTCGTCTTTCTTTTTAACATAGCGCGTAAAATCCTCGTACTCTTTACGTTGCTGGAGTGCGTCGGAGACCGGTTTGGGCACGTTGCCCGGTGGCTTTTTGAAGTTTGTTTGGCGAGAGGTGTAAACTTAACAACCACTGTACTACGCACTGTAGCTCCCAATGGTTGATGATGCCGTCATCATGTCACGTACCTGTATACACTTTCTGCCGGTAGGGCAGGGCAAGTCGAACCGTTTAGAAGGCGGATGCATAAATCTACAGAATTGCCATGATGGAAGCAAGCACTGCTTTTACCAACGCCTACTTGAATGGCAGAAATTCAACTGAGAATCTAGAATTAGCGAAGCAATGCAACTTAACAGGGCAAGTCCTTCAAGTCCCTTGGCGAAGTAGGAGCCTGTGAATCCCTTTGTCTTTGGTTCACCTCGCGAGGAGTTTCCTCGTTCTGTACACGTACACGTATTTTTATGTCTTTGGCACTGTAGGAAATCGCGAAATCTACTTGAGAACAATGACGACATCTGACACCTTGAAACCTCGACTCAGCCGGAGAACACCTTGGCAGAGCCAAGAGTGTCTAGCCTAGCTAGAGATGGCAAGTGACCTCATACGATTTGAGGTTACTTTTCAACATATTTTTCCTGGAATTGTACTTCTCGATAAGCAGGAGGATACCCTCGACACCGTACGATGCTTTGCTTATGCGTTGCTGAAGGATAGATTTTAGTAATAACTGAATGCCATTTTCGATTATTTCAACCTTGAAACGGTTTGTATTGATGTCTTCATAACCAGTACGCCAGCCTGAAAAGGAAACTGGTCTTCATGCTATGCCGAAGTTTTGAAAGACGGCTTTGTCGAGGGCAAGTACGTTAAATAAATGGTGTCCAAAATGATTTTCTAAAATTTCGAGTTAATATATATTATTTCACAAAAAGGCTGCCTCATAAGACGCACATCGCTTGTCGTCTAGACACCCTAGCTAGAAGACACGTAGGCCACGGTCGAGGTTGTTCTTTCATCAGTGTAATCCTGACAGAGCAAGAATCACAATGGCTGCGATGACCAACCACGCTACTGTGCATTACGGTAGCAAACCAAACTAATGGATGCGGCCGCTAGGAGAAGAGTGGAGCGCTCAGACTGCAACTCGAAGGAGAAAGGGACAGCGAAAGGGAAGGATGTGCCAACAGAATGAAGCTGTAGGATGCACACGACTGTAGGGCATCTGGAAGATGCGTTGACATCCACGTGTCCAAAATGGTAACCCCATTGTGCTCTTGGATTATTGAGTTGGGTCGGCTATTGGTACCAGTAGCCCTTTCGGCTCGTACTATAGCAGACCATGTGCCGCTCCCCGGACTCGTACCACTGCCGTACCGTGATACAAGTTTCCTACTCTCACTTCATTTGGCACCGACCCTGCTATCCTTCTTGGCGTGTATGGGGGAAATGGCCAGTTCCACTGCAGTAGACACACCTATTTCTGCCTTGTCCGCTGCAAGCTTTCTACGATAACTATACCTGGTCCTTTCGGTGCTTGCGGCCGCACCGCTCCCAACAGAAGCTCTACCCTGTCTAATGCTTACGTCCGTGAGGGCAGCTACACTCCTGTCGCACAACTTTTTGCAATTGGTCTATACGTCAACTGCTCTCTAGGGCGGCCCAATCTTCGGTAACTGAACCTCTTCATCCCTCATCGCCAACTACCGAACACATGGATTTCATCCGAGCTCTTTTCGACAGGAATAAACATGTTCCAGTGTTCACGCCGCTCCCTGCTTCCCCCACACTACTAGCGTCACGAAAATGCGATCCATTCATTTGCTCTGCAACTCGCACTGGCATCGAGAAGCAAGCTATAGGTGGACAATTGCGACCACTCCCGTTACCTCACCCAAATACACTAAAGAGTTGGAAACGCTCTGTGAAAATCCCAATTTCTTCCCGATACTCATGCACCGCTTCAGCTGAGGAAGAAAGTAAAGGCCAGGGTAGTCTCCTGGTCGAGGGACGATTGTCAAAGACATCGATCAAAGTCATTGCCAAGATGCCCAAGATTCGTTGGAGGAGTCGGGAGAAAAGGCACCCTTCATCCAAGCTTGTGCGAAATAGTTACTCACTGAAAATCGGAAAGCCTGCCGTTGCGCGTCGTCCCATTTTTCGGCGAGTGAGTGATGAGGTAGAGAGATGGGATTTGAATGCCGTGGGATGGCTGGGAGATTACGACGAAGTGGAAGTTAACGAGGGCTCGAGATCCTCCAAGCCTGTCCAGAGAACGCGTATTGAGCTGAAGCGAGACTCTAAGGCTGAGTCGTTAACCATAGAACGACGCGACGCGAAACTGGGAAAGGCAAATCTTAAATTTGTGCCAAGAAAAATGTTCAGCGCTTCGCTGACGGTAAAGGAGGTTGCATGGAGGAAAGCGAGGAAAGCTTTATCTACATCCCCGCAAACCGCAGTACTCAAGGATGCCAAAAGACGGCGCTCTTCTTCAGATATAGCCGTTAAAACGGCACTTGACTACCGTTCGAAAGGACACTCTTGGACTTTCACCAACACAGTTGAAGGTTTTCAAGCAATCCTATCCCTTGTAACCCGTCTACATCCTTTTCGCTTAACCCCTCGAGTTCAGATTCCTCTCGGCCGCTCGACGAAAAACCAGCCATGGATGAGTTGGACACATGTCGATGGAAGCAGTTTGGGCGAGATTCAAATTGGCCGTGATGGACTTGCCGTCTCTGCCTGCTGGCCAGACCCGAAAGTGAGTTTGAAACAGAGAGGTCGAAATGGCGGTTCAACGCAGCTGTCCCTGGACAGCAAAGGCGTTTTCTCTCTTGATAAAACGATTGTTTCCGAACCCATGCTCAACAGTGCGGTTTTAACTCTTAGCACACATACTGGCAACGGCAAGGACGATTCCAGTCTTACAGCAACATTGGCTGGCCAGTATGGCCTCTTGTCCGTGTCCGCTAACACATCGCAGTCTCTCAACCTTATAGCAGATATCAACATAGATCGCAGAAATCGGACTTACTCTGCTTTGATCAATCTTCAGAAGGGCAAGAGTCTCGAAGCTAGACTCGGATTTTTTCTGTAGAAAGGGTAATAATCTCAATGGCGCTATGCATTGTCGACAATTGAAACACGTTTCACGCGGTATCGTCTGTCTGCGATACTACTGTCGCACTTTCCCACGTTTGCCCACGATACTTCTTTTCTCCTGGACTCAAGAAAATCCCATCAGCTCGGCACTACGTCGATCCTGTTGCTATTGGAAGAAGAATTGCACATCGCTTTCCAAGAGATGCACTAGACATTATCGTGTCTTCAATATCCGCGACGCCTCATGCATTTTACTCAGTACTTGCCACATTGGAAGGAAATGTGCGTATTCCTTTAGAATTTGTAGTTGTTGCGACAGGGGATAAAACAAACTGCATTTGTAGAGCTACAGCTCGCACGAGTAGGAGCTAGGGGTTGGCATTTCGGCCTATTCCGACTCAAGAAAGCAAAGCATGCGCTCAATGAACAGTCAGTATAGCAGTATGCGGAGGTTGACATGGAGATTGTCATCAGTGTAATTCCTCTCATTTTCGTGTGAAGTGGTGAATGGTTGAAGATTCACGTTGCTCAGGGTGAGTCCGACGAAGGCAGTGGTGCATTTGCCGAAATTTGCCCTGCGATGTCTGGGCGATTTATCCCCGACTGGCGGTATGATACAGAAGGAAAGTGTGCGAAAAGACGGTTGAGGAAATTGAAATTCTACATCAAACTATTCCGAGAAACAGTTTCATTACGGAAGCTATGATGATTCTTCCGTGTCGCAGGTTTAGACATGTTACGTGAAACATGCAGACTCTATCAGTAAGGACAGGCCAAGATGTACGCCTTATACTACAGATGAACTCCGATGTATCCACACGCTGCTCATCGCTTCAGCCGAATATGCTTTAGTGTTCGAATTAAAGAACATTTCCCAACATTCTTCTGCCTGCGAAAGAGAAAATAACAGTACCCGTGCCTCCAGGAAACTCGAGCACCTCGGATAAATTTCACCCTCGTCATTCGGGCCTTCTCGCAGTGAGCAAGACCTTTCTGATGCACGCTTCGACGTAACGGGCAAAGCTTCGAGCCATTCGTTGATTCCAGTGAAGTACCCCTCCCACGCAATATCTGTGGTTCTACTTTTTACGTTTGTAGTAAAGTCCCAAATGCAAAGACACATGGATCCAAATCCAAGTTCTCCTCAATCAGGACTTTCATCGTCAAGAAGGAAGGCACCACCAAGAGTAAGTCTTGATTTGTGTGAAACACCCCCGGGAAATTATGGAGCGCGGATGAGTGTTGAAAATGGCGAAATAAGATCCCCTCTAGCTGCTGGTGCTTTTCAAGTGAAGCCGAAAATAAGGCCTGCTCGCACCAGATACTCGCTCAGCGATCTTACTTACGCTGAAAGAAATATGCAGGATGTCCCTATGAGTCCTTTGGTCACAAGGGGAGGCCCAGTGAAATCACTAGCCGATTCTGGGGAGACAGATGTGCGGAGTCCATATTCTCGGAGCCTTTCTCGAAATCGACGATTGTCGAACGTTCCCTATAACGCGTCCCCTAAGAACAGCTCTAGGAAAGCAGTTCTCATCCACGCGTGCTATATAAATACGGAAGGGGCTCAGAGGCTACGCAGCCAGTCCAATCTGGCATCGATGTACGACTTGCTTGTTTTAAGCCTTGGGTTCTCAAGGGGAAACGTTTGGGTACTGACGGATGAACCCAAGACGATACCAGGTGCGGTGAATTTCACACCTACGAGGGGAAATATTTTGAATAGTATGCGATGGCTCGTGAAGGGAAGCAGCGCAAAGCACCAGCTTCTGTTTTGCTTCAGCGGGCACGGGTGTCGCGTTCTGAAAGAACGTAATCCGGTTGCCGTCTTTGAGGACTGCATTCTACCATGCGACTATCCGATGTCCAGCCCAATTTCTGAGACTGAGATCAAGCAAATCCTCGTCCAAAACCTGAGGAATGGTGCGACGCTTACAAGTCTACTTGACTGCCAGAATTCAGCACAACTCATGAACCTTCCTTATATTCATGCGGCGGCGAGGGGAGCTAAAGGATCCTTCTTTCTTCGTGAGGAACCAGAAGCACAAAGATTTACAAGCGCCTCAACCCCTGGAGTGGTTCTAAATTCTGTCTTGCGCTTCAGTAAATTGAAAAGAGGCGGTGCCGAGCAGAGGAGAATGGCTGCCGAAGAAAGACGAAACGCAAATGCAGCTACATGCTTTGACAATGGCACTGTCATATGTATCTCATGGTCGTTTGAAACGGAACGTGAGTGTCCATCGATATCTTCAAGTCCTCCGAATCATGGGTGTCTCACACATGCCTTTGTTCGATATCTGAAGCATTCTGCTGCCGAAAAGAGCAAGCCTTCCTATAGCACTGCGCTCTGTGCAATGTCTGCGTGGCTGTCCTCTCGTGGGGGCAATTTACCGCAGTTCAGTTCAACCCATAAGGTGAGTCCTGACAAACCTATTTCTTTATTGTGAGGAAATTCACTGCCATGGCTACGATACAGATACATGTTCCCACGAGCTAGGCCAACCAAAAAGAAAACGTGACAACGATCCAGCAGCAGGAGGGCTTCTTGATCTTACACCTTCCATTTTTATTGCTCTTGCGCATTAAAATTCAAGGAGAGTGAAGCAAACAACAGCGTGTCTACTAGTTCAGATATGATCTTAGTCGTTGGCTTTCCGGCTCCATGGCCCGCCTTCACATCTATTCGTATGAGAAGCGGGCGGGTACCCTGGATCTCTGACGAGCCCGCCATGTGCTGAAGTTGAGCACCGTACTTCAAGGTGTGCAACGGCACTACTCGGGCATCATGATCACCCGTGGTTAAGAGAATGGCAGGATATGGAACCCCTCGGTCATCTGGAGAAAACACGTTGTGCAGGGGTGAATACTTGATCTGATACTCGAAATCCTTCGCCTCGTCTGGGTTCCCATAATCGCTCACCCAAGCGGAACCAATCGTGAACTTATGGAAACGGAGAATATCATGGACTCCAACCTGAGCTACGGCAGCTCCGTACAGTTCCGGAGCTTGATTTACACACGCACCGACGAGTAGCCCCCCGTTGCTGCCGCCCATAATCAAAAGAGACTTAGAGTCTGTGACTCGCATAGACTCGCATAAATGCTTTGCTCCCCACTGAAAATCGTCGAAGACATTTTGCTTGTTCTCCAGGATTCCTTGGTCGTGCCACTCAGATCCATACTCATCACCACCCCGAATGTTGGCAATCGCAACGATTCCATTTAAGCATTGCATCCAGGCAGCCCAACGAGCGGAGTAGAATGGAGTGAGCGATACCATGAAACCCCCGTATCCATACAACAGGCAAGGGCGCTTTTGCGGAGAGGCAGAATCGCTTCCTTCACGAGGGCCAATAACAAACATTGGGATCTTTGTCTGGCCATCTTTGGATGTATAGAAGACTTGCTCTGTCCTGTAGATGGACGGATCAAAACCAGGGGGATCCATCTTGCGGAAAACTCTAGTTCCATCACCGATTGGCATAGTCAAGTCTACAAAATATACTGTTCCCGCATACAAGAAGCTGGTGAACTTGTACATGAGAAAGTCATTCTCTCTATCAGCAGTGATCGAGATAGACCCTAGGTCAGGTAGTTTGATGTCGTATGCTTTTCCGCCCGTCTTCAGACTATGTACAGATAATCTGTCACTTGCATGTTCCATGTAGACAAGAGCCAATTGGTCGTAATTGACTGCGAGAGCAGAGGACAAAACGTTTGAATCATGCTCAGGCACAAGTTCTGGCCATACATCTTCCGGCTTTTCCAGAGAAACGGAGATAATACGATTCTTCGGAGCCTTCCAGTTAGTCATGACATAGAAGAGCGCGTCATCATTCGCAATATACGTGAATTGGGAGTCATATGTGTCATCAATGAGCTTGACAATACCTGCAGTCTCCTTGCCAAAATGCTGAGACAAGTCGACATACCACAATTGGTTCTTCGGGGCGCAGTCTTCATTCACGTAAATAAGCAAATAAGTACCGTCCAGAGTAGTCTTGACTCGATACATGCGCTTTGGGTTCTCTGCATTCTCGTAAACTAAGCGATCTTGACTCTGCGGGGTTCCAATGCTGTGGTAGTAGATGGATTGATTAATTGCCTCATCTGTTTCCGCACCTCTTTTATTCTTATCATCCACACCCTGTAGCGAACTAGGTATTGGATATCTCGCATAATAGAAACCTTCGCCGTCCTTTGTCCAAGCGACACTCGTGAATTTGGCCCATTCAAGCGTCTCTGGTAGTTTCTCGAGAGTGTCGCACCTCATGACTGAAATATCCTCCCAATCGCTCCCAGAGGTGTGTGTTCCATACGCAAGATACGCTCCGTTCTTAGACCAAGAAAGTGTTCCTAGCGAAACCGTGCCATCGTCCGCCAGCTTGTTTGGATCCAGGAAGACCCTCGGTTCACCATCGATGGAGTCCGTTTGCATTACTACCGCCTGATTAGAAAGGCCAACATGATGGTTGTAGTAAAAAGAACTCCCACGCTTCCATGCACATGAAAACTTATCGTAGTTGAGGAGATTCTCAACTGTGGCCTGAAAGGATGGGCGCAATGCTTCGGCAGCGCTTAGGTAAGACTTGGTGACCCTATTTTGTTCAGCGACCCATGCCTCTGTTTCAGGGCTGTCTGGAGTCTCTAACCATCGATACGGATCTGCGACCTTACGGCCGTGGAGGTTCTCCACGACGGTCTCGTCACGACGAGTCGCCGGGTACTCCATTCGAGGCATGCTCAAAGTCGAACGTTTGAATAGATCGGTTCCTATTAGTGGCGCTGATAGAAAGACTCTATCCTGTAGGAGGGCCAAGTATGGTGATGGCGATCTACGAATTGAGCGCTGCCTGAAGGGATCACACAGCGCACACAGTTTGCGGAGTCGAGACAGACCCATGTGTTCAGAAATGGAGAATTTGAGCACAATTGATCTATTCAGATATTATTATTGTTGGGAAATCTCTCTTTATTTAATAAAGCGGTGTTAAGGAACTTCGGCACGCAGTGTACTTTTGTGTTTCCCTCTTGACGAGGGCTGTAAGATGACTAGGATGGAAGGGTAGAAAGCTCGAGGAGGGCGGGGGCCAGACATTGACATGAATTAATTTGGCATTCTAGCTCTAGATCACTCGGGGACTTCCCTGCAAACGAAGCAATCGAATAGGAAGGCCACGTTGGGGTTTCAGAGTCAAGACATATTACTTTGCCTTGCAACTTCGGTCTGCATGCCACTTTTGTGAAAACATCAACAGGAACCCGTCAGGTAAAGCTCAGCCACGTTTTAGGGTGCAAAGCAAACACGCAAGCCCATCAGGGTGCCTCAGACCTCTGTTCATCAATTGTACTTGGAGCCGAGGAGCAATATATCGCACCGGCGAAGATGTCATCAATACTCGAGACGAACGAAAATCGTACAGAAGGCAGTGCATTGCGAGGCCACGTGGCGTTTCCTAGGACACGCGTTGAAGCGCTGAGTACTGTGCGAGAGGTCAAAAAAACTTCTCCGAAAGAGATCCAACCATCCATATCCACTCCAGAGCATCATGTATGGCGGCAGTGCGTAGGAAGAGCCCCATCAATTCATATTTCTTTCAGCAGCTCTCTGTAGTTTTCTATTTTCTTTCGTCTTCGCAATTCTATCCTCTAGTGTTACCATAGGCTTATTCTTCCTTTGTTTGCTTTCCTCTTTTTCTTTCACAGCTCTTTGAAAAGCCAACCGCACTTCTTCGGGTGTTGACCGCTTTACTCTCATCGACATTCCCAGCGCTTTCTGATGTGATTTACTGTTTACGTGGGCTAGGTACCTGTTCGAGTCTTTCAGAGTGACACTGCATGTCTTGCAATTGAAGCCGCCTCCTTGGATTGACCCTACAATTTCCGAGGAACCAACCTTACCCTCAAAGTCAATTTTGTGGTCCCTTTTTCGAAGCCAAGCACGTGTCGGCGCAAAAGGATCGTCATCAATGTGCGGTTGCTGGCGGCTGGCCTTCCTCGCGCGAAGCTTTTCCTGCTCTGCTTCTGACTCTGCCCGTTTTCGCTCTACAGCGCGACGCTCGTATGCTTGAACATCCCACGACCGGCGAGAGACGTCACCGCTGCCAGATGCCATTTTTCGAAATTCCGTCAAATCTGCTGCAATCCTGTGAGGACTTAGAAACCTGAGCTAGACCGAAACTGGGCGGTAGGAACATGTACCGCTCTCAGTGACACGGCAGCTGAGACACTGACCACCGCTAGGCTAGAGTAGGCAGAGAGAGAGAGAGACAGAGAGAGCACGTCCTTCAAGACCGACGTCTCATCGTCAGGGGCAGGTGAGGCGGTTGCACAAAAAACCAAAATACATTATGTACTGTACCCTTGGTACTGTATTGGTTAAAAATTCTTGCATGCTGAACACCACAGCCACCTGGGGCAATGCGTGCACCACGGGCACCACGTACATCGACCTCAGGAAACGGCGCAGCATTCGCTGTGTCTATTCGCTCCAACACCCGCGACTTAGAGAATGTTGCAGTTGGGAGACTTGGAACGCGTTTAACTTGATTCTTTGTGATCGGGATGCGTTAGGTGCGAAGAAATTTTCTGGGACACTACCGACGCGTGATAGCTGAGTCGAAACTCTCTGTCGTGATCGCGTGAATTTGTCGCAAACGAACTTTGCCAATTGCTCGGCTTCTTGACCAACTCCATGATTGAAGAGGCCTTGTTTTGGGGCCTTGTGGTGATTCTTTTTATCTTTATCGCTCTTATTCTTTTCATCTCTTTTCGAATAGCCAAGCCCCCCTGGCATTCTCCAAAGCCTGGGAAGTCTCATTCGCTACAGAACATACCAGTGTCATGGGCCGGGGCAACCTTACCCTCAGATTTGCGACTGAGATACAGCGATGTTACATTTTCAGCACACGATAACATAACTCTTCGAGCCTGGCTTATTCCGTCTTGCTTGTCCCTGTCAGGCCGCTCCAATGGTCTTTTCCCGCAAAGTGAAGAAGCGGAAGATATTGGCGATGGGGAGATGACCAATGGTGCTGTCTTTGGCAATCCCTCACCCGTAGCTGTAGTCTGCGTTCACGGAGCAGGCCGAGATCGCCGCGCTTTCTTGAAGCACGCGAAGTTCTTGTCGCAAGCTGGGTACGACGTGTTATTGTTCGATTGTGGAAACCATGGAACAAGTGATTGTGTCGCCTTGTGGCCGTTGAGTCCATGGCCAGGTCGAGCAATATCTCTCGGAAGACGAGAGCACCATGATGTGAACACCGCAGTTCGTTACATGCGTCGTAGAGGTGCAGAGCAAGTTGTCATTCTTGGCACGTCTCAAGGTGCAGCCTCAGGTCTTATTTCCGCTGCGAAGAATGAAAATGTTGACATGCTGATTCTCGAAAACCCGTTCACTTCCCCTGAGGCACTGCTCGGCGGCATAGTTGACGTTGTGCTTGCCAAGATAGGATTGTCCGCCTTCAAAAATGTAATGAAGCCACCCATTGTGTGGTTATCTCTATTCCGAACTGGGAATATCCCTCTTCACAACCAGTGCTGTGCAGAGGATTATGTGGGATTCATAAAGGTGCCTACAATGTTTATTCACGGAACCAATGACATCATTGTGCACTACAAGCAATCCGAAGTTCTCTTTAGCAACGTGCTGCATGACAGAAAAGAGATATGGATTGTCGAGGGGGCAGCCCACACGCAATGCCTGTACAAAGAGCCTCAGCAATTTGAGAAAAGGGTGCTTTTATTCATTCGAAAGCACCTGACAAAGGCAAGAACAAGTGAAGGGGAGAACTCTCAAAAGGCATAAACTGCGGAGTTTTGTCGTTACCATGGTTGCCAACACCATTCTTTCCTTCCTCAAGCCTTTGCTGAGAGGGGCCGTTTTGTTTAAGTTTAGAAGATGTGACCGCTGTTCCGGGGTATGGCATTATTAGCACGATGTGCATTGTAGGATGCTACTCTGTCCTCGCTGCGAATTAAACAAAATCGTCCTTCAGACATTTAGCAAACAGAGGTGAGGCGTTTTAGTGTGTCCTTTTTTTGTGGGTTCGGGACATCCTCTTCACATGTTCCTCTCTTATTGTACTATATCTGTTCCACCACCACCCCCTCCCCACTTGTTTGTACATACATTTGGAACACGTATGGCCTCTGCTCGACAAAATCTAAAATGCTAGATGGAAAACGGAGCCTGCCATGTATCAAACGTGTGACTGGTCGACATTTGTGGCTCTTGCTTTTCGATATAATGTGGAAGAATGCTAGATGTTCGCTCCCACACCAGCTCCCTCACACGTTGGAACAACTGGCCATAGGTCCAAGACTCGACACCATCGTAGGTTTCAGGGCATCGATGCATGGCCATTTCCTGCACTGCATCCACGAAAGATCTCGTCATGACACCAAACGATTCTACTTCCCCATTCCCTCTTCCTGTCGCAATGGTCATATCGATGGACTGTTGGTCATCTGCAGAGCCGCTGAAGAGGACGAATCCGCCAGCTCCTTTGTGAGGAGAACTTCTTTGGCGAGGTGGATCGCCCCCGGATGCTCGATACTTGACACCATCGTCGCCATGCATGACTGGCAAGTCACATACCGATCCACTGCGGCATGCGTCTACTATTGCTGTTACCTTTGCTCCTGCAGGAACTCCTCTCACCAGCCTCTCATATATGGTATCATCCAGTATCGGTGGCACCCCCTTGAATGTTTGCCCCGTGCGATGCTTTGGCTCTGGCAGACAGTCGATGGGCATAATGCACTGATGGTCAAAGGGGTGATGTTTTGCATTGCACGCGACATGAAGGAAAAGCAAGTGTGCATAGAGAACGCAGCGATGACGCAGTCAGCAAATTGATGTTAGGTGGCAAAGAACAGAGAGCTGCGCAAAACACAGAAAGGATAGAGGTGAATATTGCTGATCTTACCTGGTCAACACCAGTTTCAATTTCGTCGCCCGAAACGTCTTCAATGAAGTCTCCATGTCCAGCGAAGAAGAAGACGGCGCTATCGCCCTCACCCACATCCTCCGTGAGCCACAACATGTCTCTCAGGATGTTAAACCTCGTGGGGGCCTGGACATGAACGGAGCCAAGCATGTTTAGTTCATCAGAAAGGACCCTAACCTCGTCCTGCGGAAAGCCGAAGAGCTCAGACGTGAGCAAATTGAACATGGCAGTAACATCGTTTTTGCACCCCGGCAACACATTTAAGTACTTGTGCTTCCGGTACCCTATCCCAATGAGCAGGGCCTTGCGCCGGTTCATCCGCGCGCTGTACCCCACGGGAAGCTCGGGGACATAATCCGCAGCGGCCGGCGATATGGATGGTTTTCTATTCAGCCCGTCGAGACGCGGCGGATCTGGCACTGTTTCAACCTGGCTAGCCTCCTCCGCCTGCCTCTGGTACGCCGACAAGCTCTGCGGCAGCGGCAAGCCCCTGTCCCTCATGATCTGCTGGGCCGCTCTCGAGCGCCTTTTCACGGGGGCGCGGTCGGCTGCGGCGGCTGCGGCGGCTGCGGCATGGCGCGCCACGGCGGCCGGCTCGAGCGGGACGACGCGGGTATTGGTGGTTTGCAGCGGGGCGGGGTGGGGCGCGTGTGCGGGCGGGGCGGCGCGCAGCTGCAGCATCTCGGCGCGGGCCTTCGAGCAGGTCCTGGCGGGGAGGCGGTCGCGGTGGCGGTCGCGGTGGGTGGCGTGGGCGGCGGCGGGCGGGGACGCGGGGCCCAGGTGCGGCAGCGGGACGGCGGGGAAGGCGGGCGGGTCTGGCAGCGGGGCGTGGCGCTCGCGCAGCGACTCGTGCGAGACGAACGGCTCCGCGGCGTCGGCGGCGGGCGCGGCGGAGCGCTTGGAGGAGAAGCGGCGCAGAAGGCCGCGCGGGGACGCGCCGTCCTTCTTGCGCGCGAGGATGCCCATTGGGCGGCGTGCGCGGGTGCGGGACGGTCGAGGGGGATGGTTAAGGCGTGGGTGGCGAGCGCGGCGAGGTGCAAGTGTGAGGCGTGGATGGCGGGCGCGGCGGATGGCGGGTTGCGGAAGAGCGGTTTGTGGGTGCAAAAAAGAAAAGAAAAAAACGCGAGACTCCACGCGTGTGCTTGCGCGTGCCGCAATGGCAGAGGCTGCCGGGGCGGGCGGGCTGGGGCTCGCGGGGTGCGGGCTATGCTCGCGCGGGGCTGCGCGGGGCTGCGCGGGACGCACGGTATTAGATGCGGAACACGCCGCGGGCAGAGACAGGGTGGAGGTGTACTGTAGTTTCTCGCGGCGGCGGGCGGGTGTAGGGCGGCGGGGCGGCCCACACCGACCGCGCAGATGTTTCTACAGGTGGACAAAGGGGGCGACACGCGGACGGGGGCGCGCGCTTCCGAGGGTGCTGTACACGAAGGCACGGGAGGCGTGGGCGGGGCGTGGGCGGGGAAGCGTGGAAGGAGAGGGGACTTGGGTTGAGGAGGCGCTGGCGAGGGATGGCGGAGAGGAG